TTCATTACTCATCAACGAAGGGGGAAAACAAAAACAAGAACATGACGGAGCACATTTCTTTCCCCGTCCTTTCGTTTAAACTGAATATCATTCCTCTATGGTCTCTTGTACTTTCCCAAGTAATTCCTTCACAAAACGGGTATGGAGTTGAAAAGATGCCCACGATTCATGTTCCTGGATGAACAGCCACATGGCATGTGTGTTTGTGCGATTTATAGATTTACCCCTTCTTTCCCTTCTATAATACCACGTTTCTCAATTCACACGTGCTTGTATTGTTGCGGGCATCGTCTATGCCACGGACTCATGTAAGCCACATACATTATTTTGTATGTTACGAAACCCACATCCGGAATGGCGGAAATGTCTCAATACTGGCCAATAATAGTAAAGACATGATATTCGGCATCATACCTAAAATTTATAACCAATCARGGAGTTTTTCATCAGAATTTAGATAGGGGTTGATTGGTCAAAGCCTTTTTTTTGGTATCATGTTTTTTCCGCAGGGYAGATTCTTCTGTAAAGAAAAACTGTTTTTGCAGAATTTTATACTTTTGACCAAATACGTACTGTGCAGGATTGACACGTAATATTTATTTTCTTTTTAAAATACAATAAAAACCGGATTAATGGGTATTACTATTGGGTAATAAATGTATGAAGTGCACGGTGCACCACAACAGAGGTGTACTTGTGTATTTAATTAAATAATAATGACAAAAGAAACTTATCTGACCGAACAAAACCAAAACAGAGGTGTACGTGTGTATTTAATTAAATAATAATATTTTCAGAGCAGCAGTGGTGTCCATGGATCCAAACACATACCCGCCAATCAATTAACTGTTGATTACTAGAAATTAAAGGGGGTAAACGGCTAATATTTTATATTAGCTTTTCTTTTCTTTTCAGACAAAGATTCCCCCGTTTGTTTGCTCTTAGACCATACACAACTGCTAATCAAAAGGCAACACGACTGGTTTCCCCCATTACTTACGCCGGCATATGCTTTTTTCCAACAATGCTTCGCCAACACGTGGAATGCTGATTCCGTTCCCCAATTCCGGACTCCCCACACTCCCTGCTCGCTTCAGTATTTTGATTTTCCCTCGAAGTCCTATCTGGCTATTTCCCGTCCTCTCGTGCGCTCCTCGCTTTTCTCAGGTTCACGTAATTTTTTAATCCCTCCCAGCCAGACTCCATCCCAACTCTCTTGGTGTTTTGTCATAGTTTAAGGAGTTGGTTCTGTAGATTCCAAATCCGACGGTCACAAAACCACCGTCTGACTACCGTGTGGCCTTATCCACGAAAAAAGCAAGACAGCTCCCGCATTTATTTGCTTTATCTTTTTCTTTTATGTGCTTTACATGCTTTGGGAGATAACAACACGATCAGAAGAGAGAGAGTGAGAGAGACAACAACTCAACTTGATTTTTTATTTTGAGGGTGGGTAGATAAGATGGGATGGCTAGATGCTACAATGCTAGAAGATGGGCATCATGCCATCATGAGAGGCTTCTTCATCTGCTTTTGCGACACGTCTCATGCGCCAGAAACTCATGCTAACGTATACGGACGATGAAAGGTGGCCAATCACATACACCCACATAACAACACCGATAAACCAAAGCTAATTCTACTCGCGCGCGAGTAAGCTGTAAACTTCAATCTCATATGTGTCCGATTTTGCTGCTGTTGATAAAAAATGACCCTAAGTGAAAAGACAAGGACACCCTTGAATATGGACGGGTGTAAATGCGTTAGTGAGAGTAGATCTCGTAAAACCTACTCGCGACTCGCGAGGGTATGAAACTGTGCATAGCGGAAGAAATGAAACTCATCAGAAATACGAAAAGTAACCATGGTTAAGTCAGGTTAACCAGGGTAAGGGGTAAACACACACACAGATCCCCCGTTCCTCGGTTCCCTCCAATCCTGCCTGTCAAATGCACGACAAACCTCCTCATTCTCCCCAAAACACAACAGCTTTCCATCCTGTCAAAGCGTGACGCCGTTACATGATGTATCCAATACAAGGGACACACGTCAAACATCGTCTTAACGGTGCTCTGGTTTAGCACCTGGATGTCTCATCTTCAAGCGGATTAGCTGGTGGTCAGAGTGTCCTTAAAAGTCTGGTGACCAGTGCTCCCCGTGGCCACTCTTGTTAATATTTGACCGTGGTTGAAATGATTGCATGCAGATTTTTGACCCGCGGTTAAGGTACCGGAGTTGAGACGACTGTACGAAGGTTATGGCAGCTGGACCTCTCCCGCAGAGAGAGTTGCAGAAGAGAGAGGGGGACCTAGCTACTGCTAGATATTGAGGAGACATAGCGGCAGATGAGGAGAAAGAGATCGAAGAAATGCTTATATCGAGAAAAATTGCTTGCGGATAAAGAGCGGCCTTCCCGTTTCTATTCTAGGGTTTCAAACCAGATTCTTCTGTCGGACGACTCTTGCCAATTTAGGGTTCTTCAGCCCCTCTGCTTCACGTTTTTCGGCTTCCCAACTTGCTAGCGCCTCCATATTTCGATTATCGGTTCGACAAGTTGCGGATGAGAGATCTTTGCTGAAGTTTACCGCAATGGCTTCTTCCGAGATATCGATTAAAGGTATTTGCACTAACGGCAACGGAGAAAGCTTCTCTTCCGGGTGCAGCGAGCCCAACGATGTCGGTGGACTCGCTAGGAAGAGCGTCTCCGAGGTTCCGAGAACTTATTCCAGTTTTCCGGCCACCGGAAAAGGTTGATCCGGAGATTTTATTCCAAAATCCGGCTCTCTTGGAAGGATCTGAGTCTAATTTATTTTGTTTTCTGCCTGGAATTGCTGTAGATTCTGAGGACGCGCTTTACACGGAGCTTTGGCATGCCTGCGCCGGTCCTCTGGTAACGGTGCCGCGCGAGGGAGAGAGAGTTTTCTATTTCCCTCAAGGACACATCGAGCAGGTATGAGTTTGTTTGGGTCTTTCTCTGAGTTTTCCTCTCTTTCTATACAGCCTCTAGGAATGGATTTCACCGAGCTTCTGGTAATCTATAACTGTTCAAAGATTTCCCGTGTATTTAGCTGCATTTTGCACATTTTGTTCGAAAGTGGATGTATTTTGTTCATTTAAGAGGGTGCCTACTATTCTGATTTTGATACTTTTCGTTCTGGAGACCCTTGCTTGCAAGTGTTTATTCTTGTTGTAATTTTGAGTTCCGATCCAGGTTGAAGCATCCACGAATCAGGTTGCTGACCAGAAGATGCCGGTTTATCAACTATCATCTAAGATCCTCTGCCGTGTGATCAACGTCCAATTGAAGGTGTTGCTCAGTCTCATCCCTTTGAATGATTAGGGTTTTGGGGGGTTTTCATGTTCTTGTGTCTATGCTTCAGTAAAGCCGAACTGCATAACTATTAGAATTTTATGTCTGTCTGGATGTTGATGGTCGCTCTTTTCCTTATAGGCCGAACCAGATACCGACGAAGTATTTGCTCAAATTACTCTGCTTCCTGAACAGAACGTATGTCTCCTTCCTTGCATGACTGTTAGCTTTCAAGTCTAATAGGCAGATCTTGCGTCTAATATTCTTTATTTTTTCTTGTATCAGCAAGATGAGAACTCGGTCGAGAAGGAGACACTGCCATCTCCCACTTCGCGCCCTCACGTACATTCCTTCTGTAAAACCTTGACCGCCTCAGATACAAGCACTCATGGTGGTTTTTCTGTCTTGCGACGGCATGCAGATGAATGCCTCCCCCCGCTGGTCAGTATTCCTGGTGGATTTTGTGCTTCACTGACTTCGCCAGTCTAGGTTTTTCTGAGATGTAATTCACATTTTCCCTGACAGGACATGTGCCGCCAACCACCTACTCAGGAGTTGGTAGCGAAGGATCTGCACGGAATTGAGTGGCGCTTCCGCCACATATTTCGTGGTAACAACCATTTACTGTTTTTATTCTCCATCTGTGTAGGATTCGATGAATCCTTGATGTACTGTATAAGATATAAAAAAAAACTYGCACTTTTCTTCTGTTTCTATTTTGTCAGATATTTTCACAGTTTCAATCTCGTTTCCTTATTTTGCATTGTTTGGAGTGCTTACTGATTGGATCAAATTTAGAAATTCTGGAAAATTGTCACTAAAAAGAATTTCTGATGTGGAATATGGGAAATTTTATTGGATTTGTGACTTGTCTGAATTCTGAGTGGAGATTAGATGGTGAAAGAAAATGATCATTGTCATCATCATCGTCATCTATGCCTTATCCCAAGTATGTGGGGTCGGCTACATGAATCCTGTGTAGCTTGTCCTTTCAATTTAAATCCATGGTGAAATAAAATATAGACTCATTAAAATTCAAATTACTTTTCATGCTATACTTTCTATGTCGAGGTGGCTTTGCACATGTTGGAAATGGTGTGATTTGGTGCTTTACAGGTAATTTGCTCATTGTTTTTTTATGTTGAATGTCTTCTAAACATGATGTATGCCTATTAGAATTTTGCTTGTTTCTTCCTAGAAGTTCCATCAAGTTACCTGTTTCTTTACATTGGACACAACTGCCATCATTGTTCAAATTGTTGCATTGTCTTCTTGTGTGGCTTGATCAAAAGAATGCCATTCAACATTTAACAGTCCCTAGACAAATGATCTTGTCATGGTAAATTATGCTTCCCATTTTTCAAGGCATAACCAGTAACCTGGAACTCCTAGTTTGTTGCTACTTGCTATTTGATAAATTAACTTTTGAGCCTGGAGTTCTCTCCGTTTATAAGGAAGGTTCTTGATTTTTGTTTCAAATACCAGGTCAGCCTAGGAGGCACCTGCTTCAAAGTGGTTGGAGTGTCTTTGTTAGTTCAAAAAGGCTTGTTGCAGGGGACGCTTTTATTTTTCTGAGGTAGTTTTTTTTCCCCAATGGTTCCACGGTTGTTAATTTTCTCTCGTATTTGATTAATGGGTTGATTTTTGCCTTTCAGAGGTGGAAATGGGGAACTTCGAGTAGGGGTGAGACGAGCTATGAGACAACAGAGTAATGTTCCATCTTCGGTTATATCTAGTCACAGTATGCATCTGGGCGTCCTTGCTACAGCATGGCATGCTGTCTCAACAGGAACCATGTTCACTGTATACTACAAGCCAAGGTGTGTGTCTACTGTATTTTGATTAGTTTGGAATATCTTTTTTAAGTAACATCAATATACCTATCTATAGTTAAAGGAGATGAGCCAAATATGGGGACCTAAGTAGGCCTCTGGATTATGCATTACATTATCATGGGAAGAGGGTATCTTTGGTTCTTTTCCTCTGGTCTGACTGTAAGGAATCCTAGCAGTCACATGATCATCAATGTAGGTGCTGATTAAGGGGGTTGTGTGAATCATTGCCTTTTTAATCTAATGCCTGATCCTCCAAGATTGTTGTGGGATTCAAATAATATAATCATCAATAATTAATATATTCAAAACTTTTGTCGTTTTGTTTAGCCTCTTGTCACTGAGTGTGTACATTGTCAACAAGCATATCATGTTCATGCATTTTTCTCATCAGTCAAGGTGAATAGCTCAATTTGTTGATTATAAGCTAGTGTTAGGCTTTGCCATGTGCTTGTGGCAAATCTGAGACATGTCTCAGCTTCCTTGGATATTCCCAAGGTCCATTACTTTGGTGCCATTTATGAATCCTATGTGATAGAAGATGTTCCCAATGTCAAGTTTGTGCCATAGTAGTGTCCTTTTCTGGGGTAACGATGTTATATATGTCCCATCTCGGTTGTATTTGGTTGCATTCGTTGTTATAATTGTTTCATGACTCCAGATATGCTTCAGGGTCTAGCATAACAGTTTCCTTCTACCTCCTGTTTCTTGCCTTCTAATTTTGCATATTGTTATTGATCTTATTTGTAGGTGTTTTCATTATTTTTCTTTTTCAGGACAAGTCCTGCTGATTTTATAGTTCCATTTGATCAATATATGGAATCTATAAAAAATTACTATTCTATAGGTATGAGATTCAAAATGAGGTTTGAAGGTGAAGAAGCTCCCGAGCAGAGGTATACTTTTTGTCAATTTGCTTTTCCTACTGGAACAAGGTTTTCGTATAATGCATTATCGTTTCCAAAACCATTAATTTATTTTTTTTCTGATGCCACTCTTTTGTCCTGTTGCAGGTTTACAGGCACCATAGTTGGCATTGGAGATGCAGATCCTGACAGGTGGCCTGGATCAAAATGGAGATGTCTCAAGGTAAGTTTCTTGTAGTGTTTTTGCTGTGTGTATTTGCTGTTTTACAGGCACCATAGCTTATATGCTGTGTGTTTTATGTATTTAAGGTGCGGTGGGATGAAACTTCTTCTGTTCATCGTCCAGAGAGAGTTTCCCCTTGGCAAATAGAACCTGCTTTGGCCCCTCCAGCACTGAATCCCCTACCAATGCCGAGGCCCAAAAGGCCCCGTTCTAACATGGTTCCCTCCTCTCCCGATTCCTCTGTCCTTACAAGAGAAGGTATGTTAAAACCTGCATTTCCTGTCTATTGCATTGCTATTGCCTCAATATAGGGTCTTCTTTCATTATGGTGTCTAGACAAGTTTTTAACTTTTGCTGATGTCAGGTTCATCTAAAATCACAGCAGACCCTTCACCAAATGGGTTTCCAAGGGTCTTGCAAGGTCAAGAAATCTCGACCTTGAGATGCACCTTTTCTGAGAATAATGAATCAGACACAGCTCAGAAGCCTGTTGTATGGTCTTCATCTCATGATGAAGAAAATAGTGACATGGTTTCTGCCGAGAGAAGATTTGGAACAGAGAATTGGGCACCTTTGGTGAGGCATGAAACATCATATAAAGATCTGCTGTCTGGTTTCCGTCCTACTGACTCCTCTCATGGGTTTTGTCCACCTTATGTTGACCAAAATCCAGAGGATAACCTGATGAAAAAGCATTTCCAAGACCAGGAAGAAAAACTGAACTTGCTTTCAGGCCCGTGGTCGATGATGCCTTCAAGCTCCTCAATGAACATGTTGGAGCCTAGTATAAAGGCACCTGGACAAGCTGGTGAAATACCTTGTCAGAAGCCAGGAAGTGGAAAATATGGTGGGTTTAGTGGTTATCCTATGGTACAGAATTTTAGAGTGGAGCAGCATTCAGGAAACTGGTTGATGTCTCTTCTGCCACCATCTCGTACTGAAAATATACCTCATTCAAGAGGGAAACGCCCCCAACCTGAATTTTCACAACCTGATGCTAGAAAACCCAAAGGAGATGGAAGTTACAAACTCTTTGGTATTCCCCTCATCAGCAAGCCTGTCACATCTGAACCAGCAGTGTCACATACAAATCCTAAATATGAGCCTGAAGTTTGTGCACATCATGCGTTTCAACAGCAGCAAGGATTGGATTCTGATCAACACTCTGAACAGTCAAAGGGCTCAAAGTCAGTAGATGCTGCGATCCCGGGCAATGAGAAGGAGAAACCCTACCAAGCTCCTCAGCATCTTTCTAGGGATGTTCAAAGCAAGCTTCAGGGTGCTTCAACCAGGAGCTGCACCAAGGTTCTTTACCCTTTATGGATTCCAGTTTAATTTTTTATTTTCAAAATAACGATGAATGCTTTGTTGGATTCTAGAATTCAAAGTGGTATATGATTCACTTGGAACTGAGCAAATTAATTTCATTCATTTCAGGTTCACAAGCAGGGAATTGCTCTTGGGAGGTCGGTGGACCTAACCAAGTTCAGTGGCTATGATGAACTGATTGCTGAGTTGGATCATATGTTTGATTTTAATGGTGAATTAATGTCTCCCCAAAAAAGTTGGCTGATTGTATATACTGATAATGAGGGCGATATGATGCTTGTTGGAGATGATCCTTGGCAGTAAGAAATAAACCCTATTGAATTTTCTTTTTTCACATTTACTCTTCTAATGCCTATTGATATATCATTGCACTTTATATGGAATTTGTTACATTTTATCCTCCAATCAATTCATTGAAATGGCACTTCATGTAATAGGGAATTTTGTAGCATTGTTCGCAAGATCTGCATTTACACCCGGGAGGAGGTCCAGAAAATGAACCCTAGAAGTCTAAACCCAAAAACTGAGGAAAGCCCAGTGGTGATAGAAGAAAGTGCGAGTGCAAAGGAAGGGAAATGTTCAGGCCCTAAAGTGGCCACTCTTGGCAACTCTTAGGTTTGTTTCACGTTGCATGGTAAGTTGGTGGTCATATTTACCTAACTAGTTAATCCAGTATTGGGATCCAAAGGGGCTTCTTTGGGTCTTCCTGAAGAGGGGATTGAATATCAATGCAGAGAAGGAAAGCCTGAAGTTTGGAGTTCTGTACCAGATGATGATTAAGGCCTTCTTCCTCTGGTGCAACTTGCACATATTTGGAACGACAGGTTAAATCTCCCAGTTTTGGATGTATTGTGATTTTTGCTGACAATAGTTCCTATGGTGGTTTTATAATATCGTATACACAACATATATATACATATTTTCTGCAAGGCTTGTGTAGCCTTGTAACCGTGTACAGAGTTCTTTTTTCAATCCTTTACTATTTTGTTAGATCGCTCCCTCTTTTCTTTCATATGTACGCAGACAGAATGTCATACGACTGTTTTAGCGTGTGATTTTTATGGTCTCCTTAAAAAGTCCATTCCCTTGTTTGTACTTTTGTAGCTGAAAGAGTGAATGCCCTGCAATGTAAGATTTGGATGCCTTGTCATGAATTTTCTAACCCATACGTTAATCTCAGTTCTGATGACCTGTTTGTCTGTTACACTCGGTCCTTTTATAATACAATTTTCTTTTCTTTGGTATTTTACATATTACAAGTTACAGTAAGATTAATACCATACAAGTTACGTGAGATTAATGAGCAAGATATTTTACACCACTCCGAGGCGGCAGGAGATCTTGTCAGCAATGCCCAGGCACGTTCTAATTTTGGATGACTTGGGGGGTGTTTGGCACTGCGGTCTTATTGAGTTTTGTTTTTTAATCCACTGGTATGGATGAGCTGATGTTTTGTCAGCCACAAGTTTTTCAATAAAATCTCTCATTTATCGAAGTACATTAATGGTACGTTTGGTTTATGCCACTGGGATAGGAAAACGGGTATCATTTTTTTGTGTTTGTTCGCCTACATGGGATGAGAAACTGCATGATCAGTTTCCAAAATCAAGGATGTGGAGTTGCAAATATCGAGCCTTTTTACTAATCTCCCTAGCCGATTCTCACAGCCTCACTGTGTCTACAAGTCAACTCTCCCACCATGTTTCTACCAATATCCGGCCATGGTAAGACTAGATCCATGACCATTGATGTATTGCAACCAAGGTTCAAAGTATTGACATGTATTGGTCTGTATCAGTTGATATGTATTATTTTGGGACCCTCTGAATCAGTTGCGAAAAAAAACAAAAAATCACTAAAAAGCTGTATTGATTCGCCTGATATGCCAGCCCATACTGGCATATCAGGCTTATCATACTGGCATATCAGGCTTATCAATATTTTGAACCTTGATTGCAACTATTTTTATTCCAATTTTGATGTCATCGGTCTCATGCAGTCATGCTGTGAAGAAAAAACGGGCAAATGGTGAAAATGGTGGCCTTGGTGTTTTTAGGTTCCGATAACCTTTGCCTTTTAATGGGGTTTCATTTGTAATGGTAAAGGTGGCCTTGGTGTTCTCTCTCAATCCCATCTTTTTATCTTTGCTTTTTGTTGTGATTTTATGGCATATACCAAGTTGCTCCTATTTTGGATGCCATTGATTCCAACGGTGTCTAATGCATATAGATTCCTTTGTACCGGTTGGTGTTCTGTCTCAATCCCTCTTTTATTTCTTTGTTTTTTTGTTGCAGTTTTAGGGAGCTGATGATACCAGGTTGCCCGTTTTGGACGCCATTGATTCCGGCAGTATCTAATGCATGTAGATGGGGTTTTCTTCTAGATCTACTAATATACTTGGTTTCTGGTAGCTCTAAATGTTTTCACCACATTTTATAGATCAAAGGCAGATGCTGAGTTCTTTATTGCTAATGTTGAGTTCTCATGCTCTTGAAGCTTTGAAAGAATTTTTGAACAAACATCATCAGAACTTTCTAGGTATATCTAACAAACCAAACACAGGAAACCCCAGTGAGAAAATAAAATTTTTTGCTTCTCATCCCATCCCTTCCCATCCTTTCCTTTCCCAGAGCAATTTTCATAGAAACCAAATAGACCATAATGTGGCACACTGCCAAAAAAACACGTGACCACCTAATGTGTGTCGCATTTCAGAACCAAGCTTAATCCAACAGTATCCATTCCGGATCTTCTCCTCACCCCTACCCCACAACGTGTACCAGCTAGACATCAGGAACATTTCCAGTAGTTATATATTATTAATCATGAATTCCTAAAACATGGTGGAATGTGGCAGTGAGGTCGGTGTGAGGAACAGATCCCAATTCAATATCCATGGTACTGAATACGGTTGACAGGGTCCCAACAGCCATTGTATCCATGGATGGGAAACACATTCTCGATGTTCCTGAGACCAAATCCGAACCGCCATGATTTAACAGGGGCCAATGTTTATTGGTTTCTCAGATTAGGTATGAAGCTTTAAATCACGTCATTAATTCAATTCTATCACATCATTGCCTATATGATAAATATCCGAAGTTTCGACTAATCAAACCCTAAATTTTGATAAATACCAACTGATTTGTTTCCACTTTATTTGTTTCCAGCTAATCGTAGCTGAGACTTGAGTTAGAGGATGAATTACCCCCCGTTGTCTAGCCCTTTAAATATATATAATTTTTAGTAAACCAAAATTTTTACTAATCCTTAGTATGTTAGGTGGAATGATGAATCACTCCAGCATAGATGGGGGGAGGTTATTAGTGGTGTGTATCACCAAATACCAAAAAAAACGTCACATATATAAGTTGAGAACCAAGAAACCCACACCCACACCTACACCATGCTTCAACTAGTTTAATGATTATATGGGCTCAAAAGTTTACCCTGTAGACATTTTCTACTTCTTAGATCTCTATCAAAAAGTTCTAAAAAACTTAAATCACTTATTAAAAGTCATACCTATGAATGTTAAAACTAGTTTAGATACACATATCTTGAATACTAGGATCATTTTTCGACATTTCCCAAGTATGTTTGGTAGTTTGCACTTTACGTAAACTATCAAGCATGTGTTTCTTACGTGCAAATGATTTAGAGTTTGCTGGTGCATGCATCCATATCATAATTTTTTTCAAGATATTCACGTATCCCAGTGTCTATTAAAATTGCATTTCCGATAGTTTGAACCTGACTACCCAAGAAAAGAACAAATTAATTATACATGACTACAGATTAGCAGAAATAGCACCAGTAAAAACAAGAACAATGAAACACCGGCATCAATTTTTATCTGGCACTGTGGTTGTTGAGCCATTTTCAGACACAAACACGTGCTTGCAAATATAAACAATTTGGTACCATGATGGTTTGGAGTTGCCTGAACCAACCCCGAAAGCCAATCTCCCTTTTTCTGTTGGGTGGGGGAAATGAGGTTTGATTCACCTGTGCCATATGCATCCCACCTTAGTTTGGTTACAAGAATTGTATCAGGAATTCTAAGATAGCTTTACTGAAATTCAAATACCCATCTTTTAAAGTTATTGTCCACTAACCCTCTAATAAACACCCTCACCCAAGGAAGAAAACTAACAAAAGGCCTTGCAGAGTCAAGCCAGAAGGTAAGCAGTCGGCCATCTTCTGTTTGGACAAGGAGTTGGTGTTTAACTAAGTTTAACCACCTAAGCAGTTGCTTTGGTACTGGGGATTTTGACTGCTTGAGGATTGCACGAGTAATTACTGTTTATATGTAAGTTGGAGCAGAAAGTTGGGTTTGATTATTGGTATATTTGGATAAATTTTTTCTTATAATATTGGGAAGACTACATTTCACAGTTTTCAATTTCAAAATGTTGCATTTAACAGATTGACCTAGGGTTTACATGCATTTCACACTGGATTTTCAGTTTCACCATCAAAATCATATGGTGAACCAAGCCTCGGGTTTGTCATGCGCCTCAAGCAAGCCCAACACTCACCTTGAAGTGACAAGCCCAAGCTGAGCAGGGCAAAACCCTTTATTTTATTGATAGACAAAACCCATTTTTTCATCCTTTTCGTTTGGCAAGCTGGAACTTGATCCCATCCCCTTGATGTTAAAAAACTTTAGATCACAAACAGTAGGATAAATATATTTCTAATCACAATACTTTGAATGTCTTGCATCACATTTCTATGCAGATTTCTCCGAAAACTACAAGGGGAACTTAATTATGTATTGCCACAAAAAATTTTGTGCATTTTAATTTAGAAATTCATGAAGAAATACACATACAGCATGCACAGAATATATAAATTTTGTATATTTGTGTATTTTTATTTTAGGGAAAACAATATATGGCATATAGTCAATGTAAATGACTGAAGAATCTTCTATGTGGCAAATTAGTTTGCATGAAAAGGACTCTGTTCCCCTTATATTCTTTGAACAAATTTTGGCCCCACAGACCTTACTGGGAGTTCAAAAGCACTTTACTGATTGGTCAAAAGAAGCATTTACTGTGGTTATATTTTAGAGTAAATAAGCTGACAACTTTGAGGGTCAATAATCAATATTCATTTGGCAAAAGAGCTGTTGTTGACTGAAAAAGCACGTGCACATGATTGAAGATCTCTTATTTAATAGAGTGTGTGGATTGGCTACAAGATTTCTCCATGCACCAATAAAAATATTGCACAATAAGCTTGTGATCGTATACTTGCCTGCTGTATTAATTCCCTGCTCCAAAGCTTTGATGGATCCTGTGTCAAAGAAATACCGACTTTCACTAGTAGCAACAACATCAACAGATATATGCCCAAATCTTCAAATATTGAGAAGACCTTGCAGGGAGAAGGTAAAATAAGCCAAGTAGTAAATTACAAAAGCAAATGAGATAGAAATAGGGATAAAGAGCATCATATTCATGAAGTTACTTACCTTTGCAAGAAAACCAAACTGGCCAGGCGTACGGGTGCCAACTATATCCAACATAGTGATATTCCGCTTCAACACTATACTGGTAAGGACAGCCTGGTGTTGGAAAATAGAGCACATTTCATGCAGTCTATAGGTTTTCAATTGATAATTCTTACATGTGGAAAGGTCTGCTGATAATTCTCTTGATCTACCTATGAGGGTACCTGGGGCTTGAGGATTGTAAGAATTTTTCACCCTAACAGGGATGTCACCTTCTCTAGCAGGTCTCATAGACTGTGGATGCAAGACCTAAGAAATGCAATAAAATTTAACTTAGATATAGAACTGTTGTTTCACTTTATTGTGCAACTGCTGACTGCTGTCATGCCTTTTTCTGTTTAATTGACTTCACACAAAACGAACCAATGAGGGAAAAACATACATGTCACATATTGCTAAGCTGATTTGCGATCACTAGTCGAACATTGGTCGGATTAGCCCGAACCCAACCCCAAAAAGTTGGGCTGGGTTAGGTCAGGTTGAAGTAGAAGTTGGGTTAAGGTTGAGGCCTTGGGCAACCAAACCTAACATGTCCTCACATTTGTCCTTGTACATACGATAAGCTAAAATTAATCCACTAATCCTAAGTCTAAGAAATAAGAATATCTTAGTGTGCTAAACCCCATCAAAAACCTAAAAGAATGCATAGATTTTTTTTTTTAAGAAGTAA